GCGGGGGGGGTGGGACAGTCCCCAGTTGACCCCACTTCTCTGATCCTTTGAAATAAATCTCCCCCCAGCAAGGCTAACTTCCAACTCTCTCGCTGGGCCTTGTGTGGCAGTGGCAATTCCCCTCCCCCTTAAAGGCTCTGGAGTTCTCCGCCATGGCAGGTGTGCCCTGGGCATGCAGAGCCTCGTGCTGCTTGGCTGCTTCATTGGGGTGAGCCAGCAGTGTCTTTTGGGATGGTGCCTGCTCCCAAGAACAGAGCTGACAGGTGGATCCCGGTTGAAGAGTGTGGTGTGCACCCAAGAACTAGGGCACAACTAATTTTAGCGGCTCTAACCTTGAGTGTGTGTCTTTAAGGACTTGTCAGTAGTTTCTGCAAACTCCTCTTGTTTGAAGGGGAAAAAGTTAATACTGGAGCAGTATGTGCTCCCTGCAAGGAATAGTAAACAGCCCATAACATAAAGTCCTAAATTTGAGATAGCACAGCGGCTGTGTGCACTGCATGGCATTGTTCGTAGCCAATTTTCAGTGGTGGGAATTGAGAGTTACAGTCATCTCTGTGCTTACCACCAGAGAGGCAGATCAGTGGGTGAACTGCCTTCTTTCAAGGGGGAATGCACTACATGAATTATGGTGCCCATGCAGGATCCACTATGAAGTATGATGCTTGAAGCAGTTATTTGTGTTTAGGCCTCCATTGCTACAAATATATTCACAGTGGACACCCAAGTCTGTTAGATAGATACCACAATCTGTTGTTCATATCGTTTTGCAGAAACTGCAGGGTACTTGGTAATTCCTTATTCCAGAAGAAAGGGGGATCATATAAATTTAGGAAGAGAATGTTTTTATTCTTATTGTTAGGACCCTGCCAAATTCATGGTCCATTTTGGTCAATTTCACAGTCACAGGGTTTAAAAAATGGTAAATGTCATGATTTCAGCTATTTAAAGCTGAAATTTCACAATGTTGTAATTTAGGGGTCCTGACCCAAAAAGGAGTTCTGTGGGGATTATGATCTTGCTACACTTCTGTGCAGGTGCTGGCAACAGCATTGCTTTCAGAGCTGGCAGCTGGAGAGTGGCGTCTGCTGGCCAGGAATCCAGCTCTGAAAATACAGCTACTGCAAGTAGCAGCACAGAGGTTAGGATGGCATGGTATGGTATTGTGACCTTTATTTCTGTGTGGGTGCTGTCTTCAGAGCTGGGTACATGGCCAACATTATAGCCACCATTCTCCAGTTGTTCAGCTATGAAGGCAGCCAGGAAGTAAAGGTGTCAGTACCAAGACCCTTCTCAAATAAACTTGTGGTCCCCTTGCAACTCCCTTTTGGGTGTCTGTGAAGTGCTGAGGTTGACTTAATATTGCTTATTGAGGCCCCAGTTCAGACCTCATTAGGCTAGGAACTGTACTGTTTTAAGAGTATATGATCAGTAGGAAAAAAAAGAGAGGCAGCCAGGGTGAAACTGAAGTAACTTGCTCATAGTTACACTACCATATGCTAGTGGTAGAGCTGGAAACAAAATTCAAGTTTACTGAGTCCCAATTTAATCCCCTATTCCATGGGTGGGCAATAATTTTTGACCAGGGACCACTTCAGAAAATTTGAAGTGTCCTGGGCTGCCCCAGAAGGGCCTCCTGCACAAGGGGCAGGGCCAGGACACTTCTGGGCTTCCCCACCCACAGACCCTGATTGGTCTGTAGGTGGGGTAGCATGTGCAGTCTTTGCCCCCGCTCTCCCCCCCAGAGAACCACCAGCTGTTCTGAACAGCTGGCTGTTCCCTCTAGGTGCCTGTGCCCTTGGAGATAGGAGGAGACTTTGTGCACTTCCCCCTCCCCGCCCGAAGTCATTCAGGACCTTGGAGGAGAGGGAGGACTATTTGAAGTCTGCCCCTGCCCTACAAGGGAGCGCTGCACTTAGTCACCGGCCAGCTGAGCAGCAGCTGGCCGTTGACTCTAAGCGCACTCCTTGCAGGGCAAGGGCAGGTGAGAGGAGATTTGACATGCTTCCCCTTCACCCCCCACCCTTAGGGCCTGATTGGCCAGGGGGCCTGGGAGCAGTAGGACCTCCATGGGCTGGATCAACCCACATGGTTGGCCGAATCCGGCCTGCAGAGGCCCTTTTGCCCACCTCTATCTTAGTCAATGGTCCACACAGCCTCCCAGTGTAACATACTCTTCTCAGTTTTCTTGTTAAACACATAACAAATCGGTCCATTAAAAAGCAGAAATTGCTGAACAGGGCCTGTTCCTGAAGGCATATGTTGGAAATATGCTGTTTCAAAGTAACAAAACAGGATTTCTGCCTTACCGTTTGAAACTATTAGATATTTGTGATATTGGTGGTGTTGCTGCCTATTTTTCCATTAGTGACCTGACTACGTGGGTAATAACCATAGCAGGTACAGTCTCTTATGTTCTTTAAAATGAATAAAAATTTGAGTGTGACGGTCACTTAATGAGTGATACTGTTAGAGTTAGTCTTATTAGGAGTACACAGTTGATAACTTTGTCCATCATTTTATACTGTCCTTCAGATACTTTTTCTAATCTAAATATTTTGTATTTGATTTTTTTCTAGTGACAATGAGACCATTGTGTGTGTTCCTTGCTGTTTTGTTCATCCCATGGGGCTTTTCTTTAGCTAAGTTTGATGAATTTGAGGATGGGGATGATATTGTGGAGTATGATGATAATGACTTTGCTGAGTTTGAAGATGTTACTGAAGATGTAACCACAGAATCTCCACAGAGGATCATAACCACAGAAGATGATGAGGAGGAGGCCACTGTCGAACTTGAAGGTCAAGATGAAAATCAGGAGGACTTTGATGATGCAGATGCGCAGGTAATGTCAAATTCATGCTCTTGCTCCTTTTAGCCTCTCATTTAAATTATCCTTTTACTTATCAACCCAGATCCATGATTGTTCTTGTACTATACTGTACTGCAGTACTTATGCTGCGATCCCATCAGATCTCCCAAGCTATGTGGGATCTGGATCTGTCAATATTTGGCTGGAATATTTCAAGGGAACACCTATGGAATTCAGACGGCGGTACGCTTCTTTCAGATTCAGTAGTGAATCTATTGTGGTGCTAGGCAAAGTTGTGCTGTTGGATAGAACAACTTCCAAGTGAATTATAAAATGGAGATTCCAACTAGTTGTGGTAATTAAAGATCCCATGGCACGTCTATAGAAGTAAAGATGTTAACTTCCACAGCCTGGTCCACTTTTGGTGATTCTATATTGCCTCCCTAAATGTCCATGCAGTTTCAATGGCATCTAATCATCTCCTCTTCTGATCACAAACTTTATAATGCTTTGCTGTGTCCTGTTTTGAGAATGTTGTGATCCACTGCAGAGGTAGGTGCATTTCTGTGATAGAACTGTCCTTTGAGAATCATCTGGGTGTCAATATATAGACGTCTGTGAGATCCGTGGAGTTGAAAGGCACTTTATGCATGCAAAAACATGGCTGTTGAGTCTTCATAAAATTGTGAATAAACATTTTATTGCGGAAGTGTTCCAATTAAAAAAAACCTTTGCAATTTTCATTTATTTTAACTTTAAAATCTCAGCTGTAACATTGTAAAAGAGATTGCTGCTTTAGAGAGATGATGCAGATGGCTTTATTTTCTGTCTGGGGTATGTTTGTTGTGCTTAAAAGAAGCACCCAGGATCTTTTTCAGAGGGATAAGGCAACATGCCACATTTATTGAACATACATAGATCAATCAATACTTATCATATGCATATGATACATTACACTCATGCACACACACAAGAACGCTCCATCTTGTTGTTACCAAAAGTTGCTCCCCCTAACTGCACTGGCCAGGTGAGTTAGATGGCGGGAGGAGTGGAGCCGGGCTCCTACCTATCTAGATCGATGCTCCCATGTTGACAAGACAAAAACCCAGGGTCCCTCTGCAAGATGCCTCATATTTATCTCTCTCATGCAGCCAATTAGTCATCACCTTGCCTTTCTTAATGCTGCTTCAAAGAGTTCTTCCAAGGGCAAGCACTTGCTGCTTGACTCCCATGGCATCTGTATGTCCAGTCTTCTTAATGAGCTCACTTTCCAGGTATTGGCTTGGATCTGGCTCCCAGACCTCCACCCTTGCAACTGCTGCTGGAGGTGCTCACCTTTCATTCTCCATTCACACCTCATTCATTTCAACAGGGCAATCAAGGAAATGGGAGAGCTCAAAAGACATTTTTTCTTACAATATCCATCTATCTATCAAAAGGAAAGTTTCTCTTAATACAAAGTTATAGGAGAAATGATAATATTACAGGGATTTATCCACATGTTGTGTTTTGCCACTTATCAGGCTTGAGATGTTTAGGCTGCTTGTACTTACCCTTAGGAAGGAGATGCCGAGAATGAGCCATATGATGATGAAGAATTTGAAGGCTATGAAGAAAAAACAGATGTATCTCCCAGCAAAAGCAAAGACCCCATAACCATTGTTGATGTAGGTATAAATGTCTGGATGTCTTTCCAGTCATCATTTTATGATTTATTTCTGGTATGATTGAGCCTAGAGGGCCCTACAGAGAACAAGACATCATTGTGTTAGCTCCTGACCCAGGTTATAGCTCCCTCCTGCCCTAGATCACAACCCAAACACCCGCTCTCCTTCCAATACCCTTCCTCCAGGTGAGAATCTTTTCCTGCACCCAACCCCTCTCCCAGATCAGAACCCTCTCCCAGACCCCTTCCTGCAACCTAATCCCCTAGCCTGAACTCCCTTCTGCATCGAACCTCCATCCTAGACTAAGGAGGTAAGCTTCCCCAACCCTTTGCTGCCTCTGTCAAAAAGAGGCAGCAAGGGAGAGGGAATGGGGGGCTGCTGGGGAGAGCCAGCTTAAAAGACAGCTCCCCCCAGCTCTGTGGGAGGGGGAAGAAATCCCCACAGAGGCCAGCAGGGGACTGGTCCCAGGCTCCATGCACCTTTCATCTTTGAAATGCAGTATCAGCTGCATGGGCTCTTGTAACATTTCAAAGCGGAAGTGCCCTTATCGACTAATCGAAAAGTTGATGGAAGTTCCATCGACTATTAGATTAGTTGATTAATATAATTTTAACATCCCTAGCCTAGACCCCACATCCGGTCCATTAATATCACGGGAAAGTGCGGCCCTTGATCACTTTCCAAATTCTTGGAGTTAATAATGACCCCAGGCCTAAGGTCACAGAATACTGTATCAGCTATGCTCAGCATGATTGTTGCTGACAAAGAGTAACTCATGTCAGTGATGAAGTTGGCCCTAAGTATCCTCAACTCTATAGCATAACTTTAGTAAACCGTATCACGCTCATTCAAGGGCGAAGCTTCTCTGGTAACTTATTTGTTCCAAAACAAATGATTATGCAGGATCCATTACATTCAGTAATAAAATAACTTCCTTCACTTACTACAGGTCCCTGCGCATCTTCAAAACAGTTGGGAGAGTTATTACATGGAGATCTTGATGGTAACTGGCCTTCTTGCATACATCATGAACTACATCATTGGGAAGAATAAAAACAACCGGCTAGCTCAAGCCTGGTTCAACACTCACAGGGAGTTGCTGGAAAGTAACTTTGCCCTTGTTGGTAGGTTTTTGCAGTTGCTGTGCCCAACTGTTTGCTTCTTTGGATGTGACTGGCTTATATCATTGTGAGCCTGGGCTGGAGGTGAGGGGTTCAGTATGTAGGTTATCCTGGGGAGAGAGGACAGTGTCTTGGGCACTGCAGTGGGCACAGCCTGGGGGAGGGATGTATGTCGCCCAGCTGGGGGACAGACACATACAGACAAACCCTCTGAAGTATATAGTAGACAGAGACATACAGACAAACCCTCTGAAGTATATAGTAGATAGCGGTAGGGATTTCATAATACATTTAATTAAGCAACTATGTAACCCCTGAAAATTTCCATGATTACATACTATACTAAAATATATAGTAAGAAGATATATTGTTGTTTTCAGGGGATGATGGCACAAATAAAGAAGCCACAAGCACAGGGAAGCTCAACCAAGAAAATGAACACATATACAACTTATGGTGCTCTGGCAGGGTGTGCTGTGAGGGAATGCTTATCCAGCTAAAGGTAAGGATGGAAGATCTTGCAGGATTGTTCCACTTACTGACAGGTGGAAATTGAAAATTTGGTAAGGTGCCGTGCCCCTTTCTCTCTCCAGGTTGGGTAATCAGGGGCCTGGTTAGGATTTTTTTTTTAATCTGACTAGATTCTGAATACATGCAGGAAGCAGATATGCTGAGTGAGCAGTGGCCATTTTTACATAGTCCTGTATCTTGTGATACCAGCATTTTAAGATCTAGTCTGTGAGTAGCAATGAATACTTCATACTTCTGGAAAATTGAGAACTCCTGGCTGGCCCTGTGGGGCAATTGTTCCTGGTCATAATGGTGGATAAGAGATTGGGAGTAATTGGCAGTCTAATAGTGCTTTTTGGGGAGTGGAAGTTACTGAATGTGTCAAGCCTGGGCTTTGAACCAGAAGAATGTTCATCCCCTGAAGAAGGGAGAATTTGTCTTATTTATATTAGCTTGGCAGAGCGATACAACCAAAGATCAGTAGAAATATTTCCATGATTTTTTTCCCCCCCTATTTCAATGGAAAGTTTTGTGCTTGGATGTAAGTACTTCCCTGCAATATTTACAAGCTGAGCACTACAGCTTAGAGCTAGCACATGAGAACCAAAAAATGAAACCTTGCGACTACTTGTAATGAGCACTATGCTGTGCTTGGTGGGAAGTGTTTGCAGCATCTGTGTTTAGCTGGGAGAAGGAAAATGATGCAAAAAATAGCAGAAAGTGGTCAGAAGTAAACCAGATATTTCAAATTTTACATTTTAACTGACTTTGCCGTCATGATGGTTTAGGGCCGTGGTCACCAACCAGTAGATCGCGATCTACCGGTAGATCTCAGGGGCTCCAAGAGTAGCTCTTGAGCCCTCTCTGAACTGCCCACCTGCACAGTACATTTACATTAGATTTCCTCATGTAATGTAGGCGGGGCTTCAAGGAAGGGGCGGGGCAGTAGACCTTCACCTGTTCTGAGTCTTAAAAAGTGATCTTGGGTGTAAAAAGGTTGGAGACCACTGGTTTAGGGTTTAAAAAAAAAAGCTTTTCAGTCTTAGAGGAAGTTCAGACTACAACCTTCCTATCCAGATGCTATGTATAGCCAGTCCCAAATTATCTGTCTGTTCACAACTTGAGAACTACATTTATTCATATTAATGTCCATTTACTTCCATCTTAGCAGAAGGAGTATTAGAAAAAAAAAGATTCCAGTGAAGAAATTTAGATGTCTTCCATATCAAAAAGCAGAATATTTGATTGTCTGTCGTGCCAAATAGGTTCTTTTGGTGATAACTGGAGCAAATGCAGAATGGAAAGCTTTGTAGTTTTCTAAGACCTGCCTGGTCTTGGTACAAAGTTGTACCAGTTTAACTAAAACTGATTTTTATACCAGTTAGATAAACTGGCATAATTTTTGTGGCAGAAGCTAAACTGATATAGACGGTTTTAAACCAACAATCATCACACAAAGTTACAGTTAACTAAGCCATTTTAAGTTAATTCAGAGAAGGCCTTAGCCATACTGTAGATTCTACTACATTCCAGTAAACTGCTAAATACATTCTCTCTTTCAGTTTCTCAAGAGGCAAGACCTTCTGAATGTACTTGCTCGAATGATGAGGCCAGCCTGTGACCAAGTGGTATGCTCTGAATTGTTTAGATTTTACTGTGCATCCTTCTCATTGCATTCCTTCAGCTCTATGGGGCTTTATGTCTTTCCCACAACTCACCAGGAGAGGGCTTCAAACAGAAATGCAGCTTTCGTCTGTCTTTTTTTTTAAATAAAGTAACTCTGAAATGATCTTCAAACACCATTCATGTACTTTTTCTTTCCCTTTTTTTATGATGCACTAAACTTCTGATGATTAATTCATTGTTTGTGTGTCTGTGGGTTTTTACTATTCATGGAGTTTTGTGACCCAGGGCCCTCACACTTTGACTTAATCTTGACAAAACTTGCTTTTGTGACTTGCAGTCTCCAACAATTGATTTGTCTTTTGGACCCTTTTATAATCACACTAGGTAGTCTGTTACATGCCTGGTATTCTGCTAGTTGTAAAGCTAATTGTTGTCTATCAGCTGTGGGGTTCCCACTGTTCCCAACACTATCTCCCCATATACAACGAGAAGTCCTGTGGCACCTTATAGACTAACAGATTTATTGGAGCTTAAGCTTTCGTGGGCAAAGACCCATTTTGTCAGTTGCACCAGACTTCTCATTATTTATGCAGATTCAGACTAACATGATATTATAACCCCTCTGATATTATATCCCCATATGTATGTCTAGGGTTGCCAGGTGTCTGGTTTTGAACTTTCTGTCAGGGAAATAAATTGAGAAAATACCAGACATATAAATGTCCAGTATATTCTAATTAAGTTAGTTTTATTATTATGAGCATCAGTACATAGTTGTGTACTGCCTGGCTGGAAGACACGCTCACGCTGCGTGCACATGTCTACCAGCCACGCAGTACGCAGCTACACAATAGAGAGGAGGGGGGCAGAGCTGGGGTGGGATGGAATCCCCGGGGTCGGACTCGCTTGCACTCTGCCAGGACCGTGTGCAGGATGGGCAGCACCCTGGATCTGCGTACACCAGGGTCAGCCCCATTCCCCCTGACCCTTTCACAGCCAGCCCTGCTCCCTGCCGGCTGGTTCTCCCCCTCCCGGGTCAGCCCCGCTCCCCGACCTCCTCCTGGCCAGCCCCGCTCCCCTCCCCTCCCCTCCCGGCCAGTCCCCCCCCACCATCTGAGATCAAGTGTGTCCGGTATTTTTTTTGAAGCCATCTGGTAACTCTATGTATGTCTTGTCAAAGTGTAAATGCCAGTACAGGGGACACAGGAGCCGTAAGGAAAAACGGGGAGGAAGGGGAGTATTTTAATTAGTTTTATAGTTTGTTGTATTCTTCAGTCTATCTCATTTAGAAGTGGTAAATGCATGCAAGCAGTACTGTTGGCTATCTAGTATGCTTTCAAACCGAGTACTCCTACAGCTTTGCTTTGATGCCCATTGTCAGTGAACACTAGGGACGTTAAAATGTATTTATTCAGGTGAATGTGTAACTGCTGAAGCCATCTTCCGCTTCCCCCATCCCTGCCCTGCTGCCTCTAGGCAGCAGGAGGGGGTGGGAGGTGGTCTGCATGTGGGAGGTGGTCTGCATGTATCTGTGAAGGTTAACTGATGAGTCCAGACCATTTACACTATCGTATCCTTAATAAACGCTGAGATTGGGAACCCAGCTTTCTAATTTTTAGATGTTTACCATATGGTTTTAGGAGTGAGAAACAAAGCTATTAAATCCAGACATAGATAAAATGGCTTTATCCCCGTTGAATAACACCTGAATATAGTAGCTGCACTTGGATTTCCTTTTTGATATTTTCAAAGGAAAAGGTAGGGTTAACTTTGTAGTGAAAAAAATGTTTGCACAGTAAGACTTGGAAGTGCTTGTCCATGGCAAGTGCTCCATGTCTTAAAATCTTAACTGAGTTAAGGACCTGAGCAACAACAGGTAAATGTGCTAGTAAGTAATAGTATAAATCCAGTCACTACTAGTGTCTCTCTTTTTCTCAGCAAATAAAAGTAACAATGAATGATGAAGACATGGACACTTACGTGTTTGCTGTTGGAACAAGAAAAGCCTTAGTGCGACTTCAGAAGGAAATGCAGGACCTGGTATGTACGCGTATGTGAAAGTTGGAAGTAAATGGATGGTTCATGCAATTGGTAATGGTTTATAAAGCTTTTCATCTCTTGGTTATTCAAGTCCAGAGCCAGTTGGGAATAACTGAAAGTTATCTGAAGGTTGAGTGACCTATAAGAATTAATTATAGACCATGCTCAGTCCAGTTCCCAATGAACCGATATCTGCATCCTGAAGTAACCGGCACTCATTGGCTTCTGTACTGGCAATTTTAGCAGCAGGTCCAGGGAAAGATAACTTCTTTGTCATCTTTACAAGAGGTGTCTCAAAATGGAGGTTTAGATATGTTGACAGGTTTGCAAAATTTTTGCTTGGTCTCTCTTAGTGCAGCACCAATTACCTTGTCAGATTTTGAAAAGTCTACTCACTAATGATGAATGCAGAACTTTCTCTGGCAAGTCAGCAAGCTTAAGCCATCACTTTCAGCAGAATTAAAGAATCTCCTAGTATCAGGGATGTTATGATCTTGTGAAGAGTGTACTTCATACTGAAAATTTCTGTCTCTGGTCAGCCGGGTCTAGCCTTACCATGAGGTGAACTGGGGCGGCCACCTCAGGTGCCAGACTGTGGTGGGGAGGGGCGCCACTAGGACCCAGAGTGTAGACAATTGTGTCTGCTGCTGGTGCAGATGTATTCTCTCTGCTCTAGATGCACAGAGATGGGGGAGTGCTGTGCTGGAGGAAGGAGGGCACAAGAGACATAACAGGCAGGCAGGAAAAAAGTGGCATGGGGGTATCATTTGAGCTCCCCACCTCAGGTGCCAAAATGTTATGGGCCGGCCCTGCTGGTCAGATGGAATTAAGAAACATATCATATTTATTTTTATTTCAGTACTAGCCAGGATCCTGGCTGTGTTAGGCACTGTCCAAACACAATAAAAGATACACACTTTTTTTCTCTCTTCTCCTTCTAATAGAGTGAGTTCTGCAGTGACAAACCGAAGTCTGGGGCAAAGTATAGTCTTCCGGAGTCACTGGCTATCCTGTCAGAGATGGGAGAGGTCACAGAGGGAATGATGGACACAAAGGTAGTGAAAGAACCAGTAGAAACTCTGTCATTTTCTTGATAAGCTAGGTTGTTTTAAGGCTGGAGTTCTGTGTGAAATCTCTCTCAAAAGAGACAGCATGGGAGTTGAATGCCACATCTTTCTCTCCCTTTGGGAATCCTGAGAAACAAAGATCCCAAAGTATTAGCAAGAGTTAACATCTATACAATTGTCAATGGAGAAAACATCTGTATTGATTTTATATATTAGTATATCCATTGTAAATGTGGGACTTAAGCTGTTATTTGAAGTAAGCAAGGCAGTATTGCCAATGTGGTTGAATGTTACAAGAGCCTCAATATATACCTTTGAAGTTGTGGCTGATCACTGGAGGAAGTGTCATGTCCCAAATGAGAACTTTGTCCTACATCTTTAACTTGCTAACATTCACTAAGTGTCAGGGCTTCTGTTTATTTGCATGGACTTTTTCTCTAACAAGAGACACTGGTGGTAACTTGAGCACAAGAATTTTCCAAAATCAGGACACAGAGGCACTATCAGTAAACCGTATCAGGACAGGTTGGAGATGAATTGGTTATACAAAAATTAATCTGTTTCTCTTTCAGATGGTACATTTCCTCACGCACTATGCTGATAAGATTGAGTCCGTCCATTTTTCAGACCAGTTCTCCGGTCCAAAACTTATGCAAGAGTATGTATGAAACTAGACATCTTCTAATGGCTATTGTAGCAGACAAAATATAGACTAGCATACTTGTGTATTATAGCAGCTATATGTTGCATTGGAGGAGATGTATAGACATGAAGAGGTAAAGATAAAACAGATAATCAGAATTTCCCAAAATGTAAAGCAGCTGTACTAGTTTTCTAAAATCAAAGTGTCTGCTGCCTTCATTTCAGTTTTGTGATCTGACTGCATTGGAACTTGGGCTACTCCACCCAAGAACTGCCAGGTATAGCATTAACTGCTGCCTAGGAAGTGACTAGCTGCTAGCAAAGGGTCTAAGTAAAGTAAGGATGAAGAACCTAGAAATACCAATGACAAACTAAGGATGTAAAATCCCATTTAATTGGTTAACTGGTTAAATGTATGGTTAACTGGTTAACTGATTAAAGATTCCCCTGCCACCACCAAGGGCTGCTTCGGCCATCCAGGAGTGCCCTCTACCAGTGGTGGGCGGGAAGCTTCTCCAATCCCCACTGGTTAACTGGAACCAGTAAGCCTTACCCATTATGAGTGAAGCTAACCAGTTAAACATTCACGTCCCTATCACAAACCTTAAACTTTAACATTAATTTTATGAATATCTTTTGAATGGGAGAAAAACATTTCATTTCAGGGATCTATTGCTTGAAATCTTGTTTTATGTCAATGAAAAATAATTTAGTGTCAGTTACATTGCTTTTTAAATGCTACCTGGTGTTTGCAAGTGGCTGTTAGTTCTGCACTGGCCTAGTGTGTGTTTATGTCCATATTTTGTGTTCTCTTATTCCAATTCCTTTATTTCCTCTCTTCTGCCAGGGAGGGTCAGCCTTTAAAACTGCCTGACACTAAAAGGACACTATTGTTTACATTTAACGGTAAGGAAAGGTTTATGATCAATCAGATTTTGCAGATAAGTTGAGTGCTAAAGCCATGCCACTTGGGAGATAGTAGGCAGTAGATAAAGGCACAGGATCCCTCAGTAATGCAACAGGATGCAATAATGCACAGTAAATAACTGAGTGGCATATAGCATTGGTAGTGGGATAAAGGAGCCTTGATTCTTTAGATAAGTAGTTCGTATCCAGCCCCGGGTCAACAATGATAAAGTTATTCTAGTTTGATTGCAGTATTTGGGGAAGGAATTTGTTTTGTGTCTACTTTTTGTGGGCAGGTGTCCATCTCTCACAAGTCATCAGCACAAGTGGCCATGATGGCTAAACGACCAACTTTCCACAAGTCAAGAATTGGGTGGGTCAGATCCTATCATTCCTAATGATTATCCCAGTAGATCAGCCTTGGGATGGCGAGGGACAGTTTATGGTCATGCCTGTTGCTGTGTATGCTATATTGTTTTTCTCAATTAATAGAAGATGTCAGAGCTGCCAGGCTTAGTGACATTGAAATTGAAAACACCCGTCCCTCAGGGATTCCAGTTATTTTCAGCAGCAAAGACCATATTTTACCTTCTGATCCATACACATGCCTCCTAATGACTAAAGTGGAAGCCGTGGGCATGTCAGAGGGCAAAACATGGCCTTTAAATTGCATTTTGCAATGATAAAAGCAGAAATTTGATATCAGTATAAAAACATGGATTCAGTCTGGAAGTATAGTAAGAGAAAAATGTGCCTACTGCTATCTGAAGAATCTGAATTTAATTTCCAGAAGAAATGTTTGTTAATTAACTCATTTTAAAGGAGAATTGGAGTATTGTTCTTTGTGGACTTCTATGAACAGGCTGAGCAATGTGTAGAGGTTCTTCTAATTAATATAAAAAACCTTATCAATGTCCCTGAATTAATCTGATGAAGATTTCTTTGCTTTACAGTGCCTGGTTCAGGCAATACTTCCCCAAAAGATATGGAAGCTCTGTTGCCTTTGATGAACATGGTCATTTATTCTATTGACAAAGCGAAAAAGTTCCGTCTAAATAGAGAAGTAAGTCACGTGCTCCTGTGTGTGTTATAGTCAGTTAACATATAAAACTACTTATGGTTAAACGTCCCAAGGTAACTTTTGTAAAGCAAGGAGCCTTAAAATTCAAATCACCATCTATGGTGATTATTCTGCTTGCCTTAAATCATATCATATGATTATCATTTGGATTTGGTATTCTCTGCTTCCTGTTGCATAAGAGAGGTATTCAAACTATTGTACGCTTAACTCAAGGAAATTGACTCAGCCATAGTCTTACTTGGTCATGGGAGGCAGGGAGGTTGATCAGGGAAGGGTGATAAGAGATGGCAACAGTGATGTACAGTTGAATAGCTGCAAAAAAGAGGTAGTTCAGTCTGAAGAGAAGGAGAAGAGTTCAGAT